GGTCGGGATAAAATTGAAATATTAAATGAAAACGTAGGTTACAGTTGAGTTTGAATTATTGGGGATATGGGGGTCCTGAAACAAAATCAGGCAGTGCATCTGTAAGCTTATCCTGAATAACTTTGGCCAAGCTCAGTTAAACAGCGCTCCGTGTTGCCAGGTGTTGGGCGGTGATGCTGCATATGTGAAAACAATACCATAGAGCCTTTAGTGTCTCCAGAGGGAGCTGTGTGAAGTCTGATAAATGTCCTCAAGTGGAGTCACTTCAGTCAGACTGAAGACTACAAGTGTGAAAATAAGAGAGATGTGGAGATGTGGAGTGAGAGCAGTGATCTCACCAGACCTCTGGAACCTGCTGCAGGGTAGAGGCTCCACTCGCAACACACGTCCACATCCCTAAACTGTCAGTGGTAAAGTTGCATTGTGGGAATTGAAGGCCCCCGTTTTCGACAAGACGGAATAATGTGTGGAATGATACGATACCTCTAGTTCTGCTAGAACTAGAGGTAAACTTGAGTCTGACAGGTTATATGTGTGCAGTGATACATTGATGGAGAACCAGTTTCACTGGTTTAACAGAAAAAAACTTCCCTGTGGTCGAGTCATTTCTAGTTCAATAGGAAATTCTGCCACATGTTGGAAGCATCTTGATGTTTAAATGCTTCCTTAAAATGCTGTTTAATTAATCAGCTTTTTTATGATCTTTTACATTTCAGATAATTGTTTTGAACTTTTTTTTTGCAAACAAAAATGCAAAACATTCACTAGATAAAGCTTCTTAAATGTGAATGTGTTTGTCTTGAATGAACCAAATATCCAAACATTTAAATCACCTTTGTAGCCTTGGGACGGGCTTTTCTGATGATTGTCTAACATTTTAAGACAAACCAACAATAATTGAGTAGATTAATTGATAGTGACATTAATGGTTTTAAAGTGACAGACATCCTCTCAGCAGGTCTGTGGGTGGTACCACTCCACAGCAGGCGTCAGGAGAGAGTATCTGTCCTGTTGGTTGTTCTCTCTCTTTCCTTGTCAGCTCTCATATGTGTCTCCCTTATCATCACTTATCCTGCAGTATCAACAAGCAGCAGAAAGAAACAGAAACAGAAGCCTATGTTAACAGCTCCCATGCTGCCCACATGTTGAATGTGTGCATAGCACTGTAGCGCTCAAGCAGCATTCCTGGTGTCACAGCAGCCATCCTCACTTTTGTGGGCGACCTGGTGAAGTCAGAGGGGAGGATTAGAACGGCTGGGAGACTGACTGACTGCCTGCCACCCCCCCCACACACACACACACACACACACGGTGCCCCCCCGGAGAAAGTGAAAAACAGACATGCTGGGGATCAGAGACCTGTGATGGGAGCACAGCAGGGTGAGACAGGTCAGTAGTGAAGAGCCAAAGCCAACCCATAGATTTATTGTTAATTTAATGGCGCGATTCAATAAAAAAACATCAAAACGCAGGAGAAAAGGAACAGTAGAGAAAGACTTCTGACAAAGTGAGCACACAGTCCATGCCGCTGAGAGACGGACATGTAGAGTGTAAGCAGGTCCAAATCTCTTTGTGGAAGGACACGTGTAAACAAGTAGCCGCTTTACATGACAACACACGTGGACTGTTAGCATCTACTACGCTCACTTCTAATTCAGGCTTCTGTCATTTGCAGGAGAATTGTTTTTTGGGTCAATCCATGACTATAAGGACAAGTAAGATTTATTCCAACGCGGGTTTGATTTTTCGTAGCTCTGACCGGAACAAAAACACAAGCAGTCAGAGGATCAGACGGGTTTATCAAAACCACCTGATGAAGGTCAAAGTGAAAGTGAGCACACCTGGAATAATGCTCGTGACCCCTCACTGCACAGAACTGTGTGTGCCAACAGTAATATATACAGTAATGTATGGCTAATATATTTACCGTCTGATCTGCTGTTTTTGGACCTATTTTTCCCCACATCGCTGTGTTCCCATACTTCAGCAGGTCACTTGGTGAATACAAAGTACTTATTGTACCGATACTACTATCAGCACTAATAGTACTGCCAACCGGAGCTACGGAAATTAAACTCAAGCTGCAATAATAAGTGTAACTGTTGTTAAAGGTTTTTTCCTCAAAGAATCATTTTACCGTACCTATATTATCTCATTTACCACAAACCACGTTCACGTGACTTTAACCAGTGATGTCAGCAAGCTTTTCCAGGCATACTGTAGGGTTTTAGGTTTAAAGTTTCTGAATTGTGTTTTGTCCAACCTTTAAGGGAGTCAATGGCTTCCATTATTTCAGTTACAGGATACAAATCTACTGACTGTCAGCTTCTTTGAGTGAGGTCATGAATCACAGTGAGGCGCTTATATTTAGTTGAAGGAACCCTGTGGAGGTTTCTGGTAAACAGACGTTCTGTCTACATTCACTGTTAGGAGGAACAAACACAGTGAATATATTTCCTTCATTAGAACACGTTGGATTGCATCGGCTTGTGCTCTTTTTTTTTTTTTCTTGCCACATTATTGCCACCAACTGGAGCGGAAAACAATCCATATGCAGGGATGTGTTGCATCACCTGCATCCTCATAGTGTAAGGCATCGGGG